TGAGACTGGTGCAATGGCAAGGCCTTTAAAATGAAGACACTGGACTCCTTTATGATCCCGTATTAGAGGGACACACTCATAGGCAATGCGTCGGGGATGCTTGTTAAAAAAAGATGGTATAGCAGTGAGCTGCTATAGGTAGATTTCAGGTGGGAGAGGGGGCTCACTCTGTGCCATTGATTGGAGGTGTCAAGCACATATACTGTGGCCCAAAGTAGAACAAAATGTGATCGGGAAACGTTTAACAAAATAAATGAAAATACAATAAAGCATAGATAATGTCACATTCCAAAACTAAGCCAATGTGCAGTGCACAGGGATCCTTACATACAGATTAGCGGCCCCCATATCTGAGTCTAACACCACTGCCATAGATGATGATGTCGCCTCTCCATCTGGAGTTTAGAGCTAGCAGCATAGACGCTTACAAAGAGGGGCTGCTGCCACTACCACTGGAACACATAATATACCCTGCGTGGGGACCACGAACAGTGAACTTGCAGCTTGCGTTCGTGAAATCCACCGGATGATTGCAGATTGCTTTGGAGATACCAGCGGTCTTTGGGTAATGCAGTTTGCCTGGCAATCAGCCACGGTACAATATCAGCTTCTGGAAGAGTTGACGTAGGGTGTTCATTTGTTGTGAGGTGAGACAGTAACCCTTTAAAGCCCTTCACATCTTGCTTGGGTCCTTCCTATTTCCAGTCACCTTATACTTTACTCTCCTCCTTGTACTCCATGATTCAGAAAGTTATTCTGGAAAAAAAATATCATTGTAAATTATTTGATTACCTCACTACCCAGTGAAGAATTTTTTGCAGGCCCCTATGGTTATTCCTTCCCTACTAACAACACTCACTAAATTATCCAGTGGCATTCTGCCAGTGGTGCCATTCTGTTCCTTTTTCCAGAGGTATCTGTAGCACCCAAGGCTTCCCCTCCCATATGGACTCCCATAGAACTCACTCCTCATTATGGCACTTTGTGGGTCAGCATCCATTCAAAACTATACCTCATGAACTCCCACAGATTTCTTTTACTTGACTGAGGAATTGTTCAATTCAAAAGGCATTCAATCAAACAGCATAGCAAAATTAGTGATAAAAGAGATACCGTCCTACACAGAAGGGTTTAGGCTCTATAAGTTACCATGCTTGATGGAAGAGGGAGCATAAGAAGGAAGTTTACATGACCACGGAACACTCATGGACAAGGGCAAATTATACCTCCCCCAGCACAGTTGTCAATGTTTACAAGTGAGGAGTATTGACTGTTCTTTGCTAAGCATCTCTGATGAAACTAGTTTCTCTGCAGGCAATCTCAGCTGAACTGCTCTCTGCTGCCATCTTCTGGTTGTAGGGTCATCTAGCTCAGTGGCGTCAAACCGCAACAGAAATGAGAACCACTTAACAGCAAATAAGGAGCCCTGTGGGCCACATATTGATGTCAAAAGCCACATATTACCATTATCTATGCTCTATGGTATTTTTATCTATTTTGTTAAATGTCTTCCTATTGTATTTGCTTTGCATGTTTGAAACCTCTGATCTAGCTCAACTCCTTCATTTCATAGGAAATCAAAAGCCAGAGAAGGGAAATAATTTGACCAAAGTGACTCAGGTAATATACATGGCAGAATCAGGATTCAAATCCTAGTCTCCTAACTACAAATCCTGCGTCCTCTCCACTACTCCAAGCTGTGGCTAATATAGCTATGAATAGAAAAAAATAGCATATATATTCAGATTTTCAATACTTTGAAAGAACTGTGATTTCATCAGTTTGTGACATAACCACTTTCTGTTTCATGAGTTGCTGTGGCTGAAAATTCCTAATAATAAGCCTCTAGTGGGAGACCTATCATTGAGCCATACGCAAAGACTTCACAGCTTGATAGCACTTTCCAGCTCTTTATGCTTTTCTGGAATAGTATTTGAGAATCCATAAGAAGACATTGGCATAAGACTTTAATTGAAGATAATATTATATACCTAGTAAACATATCTAGAAAAAAATATGAATACAGGTGTGTCCTGATTTAAGAACCCTAAAATAGGAATTCTCATATTACAAAAGATTTGTACAGCTTCCCTAAATAATGACTGAGGGGAAAAAATGATGTAAGATGAAATTAGTGCCTGAAAGAGGAAGGAAAGGAAAGTAATAAAGAGTCTGACAGTCTGAAAGTCCCTCTGAGTATAAATGAACTTTGCTTGGAAGAGGTCCAATTAACTTCAGTTGTTTATTCTTGACATCTGTGATTGATGTTCTGAAGCATGTGGGAAGAATAAGAAAGAGACCTGGATTCTACTTCCCCCATAAGAGAAAAGTGGCTTTCTCTGAAATTTAAGAAGAGACCACATAAGCAGATACACACTCTTAGAGATATGAATTGCCTCCAGTAATATGCCCCCTAGCCAGACAATTCTTAGGACAAGAGCTAATATTCAAGGATGAAGTGACTCAGACAATGTTCACTGTTCACCCTTGTTCGTTATTTTCCTTGTAAGGCTAACAAGAAAAACCCTTTAAGAATCCAAAGAAGGCTTGCATGCTATTCCCAACACAGTTGAAATGTAATAGAAAATACAGCTGATTTAAGAGTATGAAAAGTTTAAATCCTGTCTCTGCCATTTATTAGCTATCTGATGTCAAGTAAGTCACTTTTGGTCTATTTCCTTATCTGTATCATGGAGATTGCATTTATAGCTTGTCTAATCTAGTAGAATGTCCTCTTAATCTTCCCTACTATCTCTAATCTTCAAACTCTACCTTCCTACTGGCTTCTTTTCTATTGCCTTCAAACATGACCATCCCCTCCATCCTAAAAAAAGAACCTTCACCAAGGATGAGCACACAGTGGTACAATGATTGGAGTGCCAGGCCTTGAGTCAGAAAGACTGATCTTCATGAGTTCAAATCTGGCCTCTTACTAATTATCATTTAACCCTGCTTGCCTCAGTTTCCTCATCTGTAAAATGAGCTGGAGAAAGAAATGGCAAACCACACCAGTATCTTTGCCAAGAAAACCTCAAATGGGGTCCAAAGAGTTGGAAATGACTAAACAACAAAAAGTCTCTACCAGTCCTTCGAATGTTTGACCCATTAGTTTGTCTTCCTTCCAAACTTGCAGTAAAGCTATCAACGCTGCTTTCACTTTTCCTCTCAGTCTTCAATCATTTGCAATGTAGCTTTTGACATCATCACTCAACTGAAATTGTTGCCTGAAAAGCCAACAAATATCTCTCAATTGAGAAATGGGATGGTTTTTTCTCAGTCTCATCCTTCTTGGAGTGGAATAGAAAGGCAAACTGGTGAACTCTGGGGAAGCAGCCATTCTCTACTCCCAGAATCTGATCTCTCCATGCTTATGCTCTTCAGGTGGAGAGCCCAGGAGGCAAAGAGTAGATCCATTCATTGGATAAGTATATACTAAATGCTTAATATGTATGACATAGTTCTAGGCCCTGAGGATATGACAAAAATAAAACTGTCTCTGCCTTCAAGGAGCTTTTATTCTACTAGGGAAAATACAACATACATACAAATAAGTACAAAGTGGAGAGTAAAGCGGCCTGCTGTCCATTTGCAGCTGGACATATGAGAGGCATTTCAAGCTCAGTAAGACAAGGAAGCAAAGAGAAGCTTTGCTCTCTAGCTTTCTTCCATAACCATCCACCCCTCTTCCCAACCTCAGCACCATTGTTGTCTCTTCCCTCTCCTCTATCACTCCCATTATGAATCAGTTGCTAGGTCTTTTCAATCCTACCTTAAAATCTTTTGCATCCATCCCTGCTCTCCATTCACATAGCCACCACCTCAGTTCAAGCCCTCACCACCTCTCACCTGGACTATTGCAATAAGCAACTAGCCTCTCATATCTCCTCTCTCCAATCCACTCTTTACAGAGCTGCCAAAATGATTTTCCTAAAAGGCAAGTCTCATCATGTCAGTGTTCTGTGCAAGAATCCTCCCCAAAGGCTTCTTATTTCCTCTAGGATAATAAACTTTTCATGCTAGTACCTAAAACCCTTGACAATCTGATTCCATATCACCTTTCTAAGCTTATATCATTCCCTTTCACACACTAGGCTCCAGCCAAAATTGACCCACTTGAACTCAGCGTTCTATTTCCCATTTCTGTTTTTGCATAGGTTCTCCCCGTGCCTAGAATTTGCTCCCTCTTAGACACCTCCACCTTTCCAAAGCATCAGCTTCCTTGAAGGCTCAGGTTTTATCATATCCCTCTCTGAGGGTAAAATGTATTTATTTTATCTTTGTATCCAAGTCATTCAGTACAATGCCTTGCAAGCCATAGGCATTTAATACATCTTTTGTTGAACTGGATTGAAGACAACCAAGTGATTCAGAAAGAGTGGGTTCTCTGCTCCAGCACCTTTTCCATGTACTTCTGTCCTCTCCCATGAGTGCAGCCTAAAGAGATCATGGCCAAAGAGGAGAGAGGGTAGCAGACAAAAGCTAGAAAGAAATAAAACTTCAGATTGGGAGGGAATCAGGGCTGCACCAAGCCAAGTCTTTGGGCTTACTGCAGAAAAACAGTTGGGTTACTGCATGAGTAGGTTCCTGGCTCCATAGCAACTAGCAAAATGAAGTTGTGTGTTTGTGTAGTAGTTAATGCTCTGTGAAAAGAAAGGCTTTGGGAAAGACTAGAGGAAGGGTGGAGGAAAGAAGTAAAAAAAAAAAAAGGGTAAAGCTGAAGTGTTCAGAGTCACTTATAAGTACATCATAAGGAAAAAATAATTCTAAAATTATCTTGCAAATCCAAGGGCAAATGAGATACTATTTACTAAATTTGATTTGTACCTCTTTCCAAGAGCATGCTTATTGCCTAAAGTTGGGTATATCTATATTCCAAATGCAGTGTTCATTCCTATCAGCTGGCAAAGGTGAGGACCTCTCTGCATTAGGCTGAAAGGCTGGTTTTCATCCTTAGGCAGGATGTACAGTCTTGGTGACTTATTTTTTTTTTCCTTCTACAGTCTGAAATTTAAGACAGAGGGAAAAAGAATACTGCCGACTGACGTAAGAAAAACTTGTGTGAGCTTGTCTACTCAGAGATTTCTGTTTGGGCAGAAAGGCTGAGGAGTCTTCCATCCAACTCAGAAGCCACAAAGTAGGATCCTTTTTCCCTTTCAAGACACTAAGAGATGGAAGGTAAGTAACCACTATCAAACAACTCTAGCATGCAGCTCCTTGAACTTCAGCTCTGGTTTAGCAGTAATTGTCAGTTGATGCCTGACACCTGAATGCTGATTTTGTTTTGCTTCTCTCAAAGAGGCAAGGATGTCACAGTGTAACTAAGGGCTATTGCATAGCCTTTCCCCTAAATTTACATTTTTAATTTTAAAAAAATTGATTTCTATTTTGAGAGGGGTGAGATTCATCACAAAAAGTCTTTGATGTCACAGGCCTTCCAATATATAGAGGCGAAGGACTGCACAAAGATAAAAGGCAATATAAAAGCAGTATTTGAAGAAAGGCCAGACAGTATGGGCCTAGAGTTGGAAGAATATGCTCATTCTTTCTCTTCAATTTGCTCTTCCTTTTTCATGACTACCTAAATCAGCATTCATGTAAGAGATGCAGTGTAGATCAGGGAAAAGAGGGCTTTCTTTTGAGTTAAATGACCGAGGTTGATAGGTGTACTGGAGCCACAAATCTGCCAATGCTACAAATCAAGGCTTGATTATCATTTTGTTGATTACCTAGATTTAAGAAAGTGATGGAGAAAATGTTAATAAAGCAGATTAAACTTCAAGGTGTGCTGAAACAAAAAACACCGCTTCTGTTTGGTAAATGCATGAGCCTGAGGCATTTGACGAATACATGGGGGCACAGTGGATAAAGTGACGGGCCTGGAGTTAGGAAGACTCATCTTCATGAGTTCAGATCTGGCCTCAAGTTCAAATCTGGCCTGGGTAAGTCACTTAACCCCCTTTGCCTCAGTTTCCTCATCTGTAAAATGAGCTGGAGAAGGAAATGGCAAACCACTCCAGTATCTTTGCCAAGGAAACCCTACAAAGAGTCAGTCATGACTGAAATGACTGAACAAGAAGAAGGTGCCATCAGTTGGACAATGGTCAAACAAACTGTGGGATATGAATGTAATGGCATATTATTCCTTTATTGGAAATGTTGAAGAGAATGTTCAGAGAAACCTGGGAAAATTTGTGTGAAATTATTCAAACTGGAGTGAACAGAACCTCAAGGGGAATTTATTCAATAACAACATTGTAAAGAAGCAATTTTCAAAGACTTAAGAAATGATTCAATCCAATGGCTAATCTTAACATCATGAAGAGGAAACATTCTATCCATCTCCTGGCAGAAAGGTAATAGACTCCAGGTGCCCAGTGAAATATGCATGCGCAAAACTTCCAGTTTCTGTTCTAAGCCATGTATCTGAAGTTTTTAATTAAGAGCTTTCTGATTTCACTCTCTTTTTTCAGTTTTATTGGGTGTTTGATTAGCCTTTCCTTGAGGTTCTTGTGGCCATTTCATTCTCTCTTTCTTCCCCCTACTTTTTTAAAGAGATAGAATTATTATTATTTTATTATAGAACTATATATTTCACATGGATTTTCCTCTGGTATTATTGCTTTTAGAGAAGCATTGCTCATCTCCTCTGTCCCCAATGGGTTGCTTTTTGTTAACTTATCTGTTTTCCCAGTGTATGTGGTGGAAGATTGCTTTGCTTTTCACTTTCTGTTATTAATGGACTTTTAATTTATTTGGCACCTTTCTGTTTTTACAGTGACAGGGGTGCGGAAGAACAGTATTGGACTTAAAGGCAACCTTTCCCTCAGCCATTTCAAGGTCTCTAGGGCAATGCTAGTGGAAAGCACACATATGTTAGGATCTACAATACTGGAAATGCTTCTGAGTACAGATATGGAAGAGATGATATGCTGAGGACCAGTCTACCCAAGTACTGAAAAGGCCAGGACAAAAATTTCTGTATTCTTTTGTAAAACCATAATTGAACATAATGTTCACTGTTAACCACACAAAAAGCTTCTGATTGTCTTTAGGTAAAATTGTGCCTCTGCAGAAATGCATGTAACTTTGTGTACACTGGTTACAAAACCTACATACTCTAGCATTTCCCTTACGGTTTAGAGTGCTGATAGTTTTCAGTCCCCTCCACAGCATCCTGGGGTCAGTGCTGGCTTCTGGACTCCTTGCAGCTTCTGCATCAAAGTGCTGAAGACCTCAGCTGCCCCTGTAATGTCTCTAGTCAGTACACCGGCAGGCTTCCTACCTGTTTACTTAAGTTCTTGTTGGCTTCCCTGCTGGCATCCTTGATTTTTTTTTTTTATCATTATTCGATTTTTGGTGCCTTTTCAGATCTTCGCTGGAGTGCAGAAGGAGCTTGGATTCTTTTAAGACCTTTCAGAAGACTATTTTAACTGGAAGCCCCTGAGACATCCTTCCCATTTCACATACAAATACTCCAGTTAGAATTCCTATCTCTGTTCACTGAAACTATTATGATAATCTCTCAGCTGATCATTCATAATTCCAGTCTTGGCTCCCAAATAGTTCTAATGCTCTATTCCCCATGTCACTCTTACACCTAAATATCCAGTGACTTTCCATGATTTACCACTTAAAGCATAAACTCATAATCCTGATACTTAAGGCTAAGATGAAAGTTTGCTACTTCCCTTTCACGTGATGCTATTTGTGTGAACATGGACAAGTCACATATACTCAGGGCCTCAGTTTCCTCATCTGTAAAGAGAAGGTTGGACTAGATTATTGCTAAAGTTCTTTTTGGCTCTAAATCTATAATCTTATGTACACCACCTTTCAGCCAGTAGAGATTACTATCCACCCCATCGTTGCCTTGATGGGCACTGCCTCAGGGCATTCTAACATTTAAAAAATTTGTAATAGAATATGAGGCAACCTAATATATTAGACAATTATTTGAATGGTGTTTGCAAAGCCATTTCTTAAGAAGCTGTTTATTTCCTCTTGGTTTCTATGACTTTAATTATTAATTAAGCTACCAGGCATGTGGTAGGGGCTTGGTCTTTATATCCAGCCTAAGATTTTCCTTAGGAATAGCTAATAGCGTTTAGCAGTTTTCTATTCTGCTGTGACTGAAATTAAAAACAACAACAAAACAGAACAAAAAAAAAACCTTTCACATAAGCATAAATATTTAATAATGAAGCATGTGGTCTAAAGAGAGGTAAAAAGGTAAATTTAAGGTACAATTTGGTACTAATAATCTAACTAGTTACACCCAAGCAGCAGCAAAACAAAAACTTTCTGAATCTCTTAATTTATAAATTACTCTGTAGTTTGATATAGGAAACCCTAGGGTAAGTGGGGAACACCTCCTTCTCTCCCCAAACACATGATAACTGTATCAGGCACTTTCTAGCTGCTTTGTGCTTCACCTTCTAACCAAGGATTAGCAGTTACTGGATATTGCTTGAAATTTGTTGGTAATTCAACAATAATTAAATGTACTCAATTAAACAGATACTTTATCAGCTCCACTTGACCCTGGGAGAAAAGCTCCTTTTTGCTGTAAACTGGCCTCCAAGAGAGCTCAAAGATACAACAGTTATGTTCTGTATCAGAATATAAAGCTGATTAAAATACATTTAAGAAAAATCTAACAAGATTTCGAATAGTCCAGGGTGAAATATAGCTTAAATGAGTTGTGGCTAAAAGCAAAAAAACCAACCAAACAAACAAATGCCCACCTGGTGGCCAACCTTCTCCTCTCTGAATCTGGCTCAGCTGGTTTTCAGAGAGCAGATACATGATCCAGGAAGTGCTCAGGTCTGCACTCTAAGAACTTTAGCTTGGCAGAACTCGCCAGAGCTTGTGTTCTGGTTGCAAAGCTATCTGAGGTCACCAACTGACCTTAAATCTATTCAGTCAGTCAACAAGCAATTTATCAAGCACCAACTACGTGCCAGGCTGAAAGCTGTAACATTCATCATATTTATATGTGCATTTTGCTTATCAAACATCAGTGGTATTTATCCTTTGGAAATTCTTTTTATCACTGGCTACAAGATAAAGTATCACAGAGATCTTGATATAAGAATTTGCAGAAAGCCAAAGCCACTGAGCAGCAGACTGGCTATTTAAAAAAGTTTATTTTTTAAAAAAATACAACATATGTAAACATCTTTCAGTCATAAGGCTTTGTAAAACAGCATATCAAGTAGATACCTTAAATTTCTGCAGTATAAGCACCTTAAATTGTTTACTAACAGTGATCACCTTAATTTATCTTTTATCCTAGAAATACTATTCAATCTACATGAAAATAAATACGACCATATTATGCTACAGACAGCAACACATTAAAAGAAATCACAAATTTACAACAAATCTTGATCATCTCCCCCACCCCAATATCTGCAGTGGCATGTAAGATTGAATTCATACTTTGATAGATAATTGTCTTTATTTATAATATACTTTCATATCTCAGTTCATCAGAATGCAAACTGGCCTAGAGAAGCTACTAAGGGATCTAAAAGATGTACGGTTAGGAAAGGAAGCAATAAAGGAGTACAATGCAAAATGTTGTTTCTGTAGAAATAAAATTACAGGTAAGTAAGTTCAGGGTTTTTTGTTTTTGTTTCTGTTTTTTTTTGCACAAATTCATTATTTTAGGCATCTCCTGCAATTTTGTCTGTAGGTTACATACACTAATGGCTGAAAACTTAGTGGCCAACAATGTTGGTGTAATGTATTCATAAAGACCAAAATCTAGCACTAATAATTCAACAAATTATCAAAAATTGAAACTTAAGTATTACAGTGAACCACTTGATTTAATAGAATAATAATGAATTAAGTACCTGAGATTTTACTGCAACCTAGAGATTGTTTCCCTCAGGATAAGACATACATATACCATTAATCCTTTTATGTTCTGGTCATAGTAACAAAAACAATTACAAAATGTACTCAAAAAGATACAGCTTTATAATTTAAGTACTATTATTTTTTTTTGAAAAATTGTTTACTATGCACTTCAAACGTGAAATTTTAATTTTCAAACACTAAAATTTCAGTTTAGTAAAATGTGCCTATTTAACTTGAATAGAAATTTAAAGGAAAAATTAAGCAATATTACTTTAAAAATTTATGGCAATTAAAAAAAAAATAAGTGTGCTTCCAAACTGATAATATTAAACAAGGTGAGAGTTCACAAAATAGATTTTCTAGAAAGAAACCCACAAAATTTAATGAAAGCACCATCATCCAAATAGAAATACAATTTTTAACAACTCAGTAGTCTATGACATTCTTAGTGTACTCAGGGATATATTCTATATTCCCATTCCTGAGTAATTTCTATTTGCCTTTGCCTTTTAACAACTGTTCAAGATTACCTGAAATGTCAAATAATTTTGTAAAATATTTAATTCCCAACAGCTGATCTCTGATCTTGAAATGTGTTTATTTAAATAATAAATTCTATTTGGTTTAAGGTGCTAGGTAATTTTGCCATCACTAAAATTACATTATCTTTGAAATAACAAAGCTTCATTTAAATTCAGTTTACTTATTACCCAAAATATTTCTAGGGAATAAGAGTTGTGCATTTTCAGGTACAAAATAAGACGGTTACTTTAATTTTAGAATTCTCTCTTACCAAGAGAAGAGCCAACTGAAAAAACTTTCTTCAGTGGGTACAAGATAGTCATTCAAACATCATTCAGCTATATTAGGTTCCTCATAAATTCTATGAAGTCAGTATTTATAAGGCATATTCAGTGAAATTTACTCAAATAGGGTGAAGTCACTACATAAGCTGTCTGGTAATCCTAATGTCAAGGTTAGGTAGTTTAATAGAATCCTACATTGATTTCGGTCACCTATCTTCAAAATTATACAACATTAGCAAAGCAGTGTGGAGCTGTAGATAGTCAACTTCAGAGCCTAGAACACCTGGGTTCAAATCCCACATCCTGGCTGTGTGACTCTAGGTAAATCACCAAACATCTCAGTGCTCTAGGCACTAAGACTGGAAGTTGCTGAAAAGGAGACAGCTTAGAGGGAGCTTCCTCATCTGGGAGCTTCCAATTCCTAGCCCTATCCTAATGGTTTTTTGCATCACATCATTCACAATTAACAAATTTATAGCATTTTTTTTCCCCTTCCTTTTTGAAGAAAGGGGAAAAGTGGTTCAAAGCATCATCATTTTTAGGAAGTCTTTCTTTTTGTGACTGGGGGAGAGGGAGAAAGAGAAAAACAATCCTAAAAGTTAAGACTGATCAAGACTCTATTATCCAGCAGATAGCTTTACATTATTGTGCATTTCTAGGTTTACACTTCTGTGCACTTCAAGTTACTAGGTGTGGTTCCAGTGAAAAGACAATACAGGCAAGCTAACAACAATGTTATATTTTTCCAAAAGTTAAAGATATCTACTACTGTTTTGGTAACACGGCCACAGCTTTTGAAAACACAGCAGCATGAAACATTAGAAGGTAGACACATGATTTTAAGTTGTTCTCATTAAAAACAGAAACGCTTTTAAAAGCATAAGGCACTTAAAATTAAGATAGAAATTCTTTCTCCAGTTCATATATAGATGGCCGGCTAGTTTTGCTCTTCATTCTGCATAGAGGCACAGTGTAGTCCCTGTTCTGACCTTCCACATCGAGGTCCAGTAGTGAGGGTACGTGGAATTTAGTTCTTTCCTTGGTACTAAGTAGACAGTCAGCATTTGGTCCTGGGCTACCTGTCTGTGCAGTACTAGGTTTTGCACTTTCTGGAAGAACCTGCTGAGGATTTACTCCACTTCTCAGAGAAGAAGGGCGAGGTCTGGGTATGATACTGACAGCACTTTGTTTTTCGAGTGGGACCTCACTTGGCAGATTTCTCTGATGAACAGATGGGAAGTGCAGCATCCCAGAAACTTGAAGAAGTGGCAGTTCGGAGACTCCGTTGGTTGAGCAAGTAACTACGAGAATGTAAAGACAAGATGTAATTAGAGGAATTTTAGCTTCCATTCAAAAAAGTCATATGGCCATGATGGCTAAGTCAACTAAGTAATCATTTGGAAGTGAGAATCTAATGGGAAAATGGTGGGCAAACACTGGAGAGCTACCATGTCATAAACACTAGGACACTGAGTATTTGCCTGAAGACCATGTTGGTGACAGCTGTTTCATTTGCTGCACATGACTGGAAAATGTAGTGATACATAACCAAAAGTATTTCAAAATATTAGCACCATTATTAATTATAATGTTTAAAGTAAACTTAAAAAATTCAGATTAGAATGAAGGCTGGGTAGAGGTCTTTTGGAAACCATTCTTTAAAAAATATATTTGCTTAAAATTACTCTGAAATCAATTTTTAAAAGCTGCTAAGATTATACAACCTTAAAATACACAAATTTTTTTCTCTATGATTCTGAGACAGTGGTAGATTTCAAACACTGGCAACACCTCAGCTTAATACTATTCTTCATTGCTTCACATTTGGCTGACAAATGTTGATTATCTTACAAACAAAAGTAGTCTAGTTCCTTATGGATTTAGACAGAGGGTTCTACGTGACTTGCAAACAGGGGTACTTTGTTAAAATGACTTTTTTCATGAATGGTCATTCTTCCACTAAAATATATAAAATATTTTTACTATTCTATTAAGTTTTACTAACTTTCAAAAGAACCTAAAAATGAACTACTCAGTGTTCTGATAAAAAGTCAACATGGAGATTAAAATATTTGCTGATAGCAAGTATTTTGGTGGGGAGGAGAGTGCTGAGCTACCAATCTTAACTTCAAGTCTAATTTTCAGAGGATCACTATACCAATAAATAATAAAAAAAAGACACTACCTTACATATTATAGACCCGTTATTAATAAAATTAATTTGATAAAATTGATATTTGGGGGGTTAGCTTTGGCCATATATCCTGTTGAATGGTATGGGGAACTCCTGGTGAGGGAATTTCCTTTACTAATTAAGACTGGCACATGGCAATTGTTCTGTGAGTCTTTAGTCTTACAGAGCTGCCTAGTAGCATTCTGAGGATCACAAAACCAGGATATGTGAGAACTAAGACTTGAACCCAGGAATTCCTGACTCTACCACTAGTGCTCTCCATTCACCGCTTCCCCAGCCTCTCATCATCAGATGCTTAAACCAGCTCTCACTATAAATAACAGTGGAAGTATATTTTAGGGAGAAAAGGAACTGGACCAGGAGTAGGAAACTCTTAACTAAGGCAGAAGAGTGTCCCCAAATAACTTATTTTTACTACCTAATGTAGATTCAGTTATATATTTGCATATTTTAAACAACCCACCTGTTGTCTGAAAAGCATTTCCGTCAGACACAGTGCGTCTATGACATGATACCCTCATTTTTGATGAAGCATTATTTGGCACATTTCCAGACACTTGCTTTGTGAAAGGAGAGGAAGGCACATTCTTCGACAAGCTATGATCAGTCACAAGTCCTGAAACTGCAGCAGGCTCACAGTTACTTCCCTGAATTACAGGGGAAACTCCTATAATGGGAATGTCTGTATCACAAGTACCCACAAATGTGTCTTCACTATCTGGGTGTAGCAAACATTTTGTGGAGATGGAAGGCATGGACAGGAGGTTCACAGTGTTTGATGATGGGCTTAATGATGAAAGGTTAACATCTTCTCTTTTAGACTGCAATCTGGCAGGAGGGCTGGAACTTCTTCGTAATTTAGAAGCACGCTGAAATATTCCCTCACGTTTCTTCTTATCCTCTTTGGGCAACAATTCATCAGGAGGCTGTGCCTTATTTAGTTCCCTAATATCTAATCCCAAAGCTACGGAAGCCAATAATGCAGCACATCCATATAATGCAGATTCAGTTTTCTTTTTGGGGGGTGTTCTGCTAAGACTATTTGTGGGAGTCATTTGGGGAGTGCTGGCTGCAGAACTTGCAGAGGTTCCCTCTTCAAAGCTTTCAGGTTCTACAATGTTATCTCCCTGATCATCTTTCCAAAGAGGTAGATCAACATAGGCCTGATTCATCAATTTCATTTGCTTTGGTCTTTTGTTGTCCAGTCCATCAGGGAACAGTTTCTGCTCTGGAGAGATACCTAAATCAGAGGTATAGGTTCAAATGTAGTAGTACCTTTTTTTTTTTATAAAATAATATTTCACAATCTTTTGTTTTTACATCACCTACATTTCCCAATGTAATAACTTAATATCTTTTACTTTAATTCCACTCTAATACTTTTTAAAATAAGTTGGTTCTGAGTTGCCTTGGAAAATTCAAAACTACAAGCTCAATAAAATAAATGTAACCACAACAAAATAATGTAAAGTCACAGATACTCTAATTGAAGTACTGAATCTCAACCTAGTAAAACAATGGATTATAATACATAGCATGAAGAGAATTTCTCCCCAAGAAGACTATCTAACAATGGTGAAAAACAACAGGAAAGCTGACAGCTTTATTTATTCTCTAAAGACGGAAGGGATTAGATAATACTACCTATTAACCCTCTCCTCCAAATATATTCTCCCCAACACAAAAATTGAAAAAACATTAAAAAGTTCAGATTTTAAGTCTAACACAAACAAATCCCAAGTTCTGAGTCTATAACTAACACAAGCACATTTACCTTGTTGGTCCATAAATAATGACGCTAAAGGCACAGTTTTCTGATTTTTCATTAAGATAGTTGACCAAGGATTACTGCCATCTGAAAGGGGTCTTACTCTGAAAAAGAAATATATTTTTCTGACATGAGTGAATCACACAAATTATAGCTTACTGGCAAGTAAAATCCAGTTAGGTCATGGGGAAAGTGATTAAAAGACAATGTTAAGTTTTAATTCTGAAAAGTAAAAGAATAAAGTCTTATCAGACTATCATTTTTTAAAAAGAGCTAATAAAGAATGATCAGTATAATAATGCATATAATGTCAACATGAGCAAGCAAAAATAAAAGTAAAGTAAAGCCTCATAATGAGAAGTTAAATCTTCTTAAAGGAAAGGCCAGCTAACTGAGTGATCAGATACAACAAATGCTAAAAGCAATGATACTAGTCACACTAGTGATGTAAAAACCAGCAGTAAATTGATATACCTCTCTTTGCAGTCCGTACGCTCTTTTGTTTGAATTGAACTCGGTCCCCAGGTACAGCCTTTCTTCTTGAAGTTTCTCTTCACATCTTCAAATTCTTCTTGGCGACAAGTGGTGCTTTTGCCCCATGTTCTGTTGCTTTCATCTGAGGTGACTAGATACAGAGAAAAATCACTCACGGATCCATTCACTGCTTTGTTACAGTAATCAAATCACCAGCAGCACCCTCTTACTTAGATACCTACTAAAAGGGCTTATTTACTTGATGAAGAAATTATTTATTTCACCCACAGCTACCACAAATTGCTTTTTCCAATCAAAAAAGCAGCAAGAGAATGGACAAAATAATTAGGAAAGATGCAAATTAAGAAGAAGGTAGCAGAAAGGATCTGGTCTTATTTTCACATGCTGTGCCATTCATGATTTTCCATTTTTATTTGAAGAAAGAAAACCCAACTGAGCATTTAATTTTTATTTTATTTAGCAGAATAATTTCAATGAAATAATTGAGATGTCTAACTTGTGGCATTACAGTTTCTTTAAGAGTTGAATTAGAGAACTTCACATTAATACTTTATACTTAAATGCTCAGTCTTCAAGCTTAATTATGATTAAAAAAATTAGTCACAAAAACCCCCAAACCCTTTACAATTTAATTGTGTCTTGCCTTTTTTCATTCCCTCATAGGGAAGTACATATTCACTTGTGATATCTACATCTTGCTGGTACACATATATACTGTTTCTCCGGTCATGAGAAGTACTTACATCTGATTTTGAAATCACTGGGGAAAAATGGTTATTATTACTATATACTTAGTGAACATACCATCAATAAGCTAAAGAATGCAAAAAAATTACAAAATTAGTCATTATCTTTAATAAGCATAAACGTGTCAAATGCAGGCCAGCATTGCCTGAGGCCAGAACCAGACTAAAATGTAATTGGGAAATATTTAAAAGTAAATAAAAAGACAATTTAAAAAATGTTGATTTCTGGTCAAATCAATATGCAAGCAATATGCAGTTGGTAGGGATCCATTTCTATGTGATACCACATAACCCTAATATCAAGAGAGTTGTAAGATAAAATGAAGGCCTGTGTTCTTCACTTTTTTTAAAAAAAAAATACATTTGAAGAGAATAAGGAGATTAAATACACACACACACACACACACACATTTGAATTTTGTTCAAGGTCAACCACATTCTTATCAAGTGAATTCATATACCATAAATCAGTCCTTGAATATTTAATCTTCAACTTTATCCTTTAACAATATTTCTTAATATGTGCATATATATAAAACCTAACTTTCATGTTGTACTTTTATTTGACAAACTTTTATCCCAATCTTCTGAACTTTAATTTAACCAATAAATACATGAGATTCAGTTTGGAACTCTTACTAAATAGATCTCCACATGCATCTTGGACGTGCCTATTTATGTTGTCTCCCTCCACTAGATTATCATGTCCTTAAGGGATTACCTTTTCTCCACCTTTTGCATCTCAAGTTTAGCATAGTACCTGGTACGTAGTAAGTGCTTAACAAATACTTTTTGACACATACATGCATACTTACATATACATACATATATATATATATATGTATATATATATATATATGTATATATATATATTTATGTGTGTGTGTGTGTGTTCACATGCATAAGTCTATGTGTAAGTACACAAACATATCTGCCATGTACATATGTATATAGGTATACATGGAACTTTTGGAATTCTGGAATGTCCTGAAGGAAGTAAGAAAAGTTTCAGAGACAAAACACAAACTTGCCAAATCACCTAATTTTCATCCTATTTTTTTTTCCTAAATAGACACAGAACTTCTGGCTTCCACTGATCTATTTCCCACGAGTATAAAATGAACAATCAATAAGAACAGACTGAACTCTTACTACCTTTAGACCACTGTTTACTGCTAGGAAACTGACTCCCGGCCTCACGAAACATAAAGCCTCATAAGTAAAACAAAATCACCATGTTATATCATTGTTGAACATTGAATGCTGGAATTGGAAGTGAGAGAAATGGAAGCTGAATCCCATCTCTGATACCTAAGAAGTAACTGTGGGCAAGTCATTTAACCTCGAAAGACTTCAGTTTTCTCACATGAAAACTGGGACAATAATACCAGGAGCTCTTGCATCATAGGACTATTAAAAGAATCCAATGAGAAGATGTATATAAAATCACATTAAAGTGCTATATCCATGTATTTCATGAGGTCTAATTGGAGTTGGGTACCAAGAAAAAAGAAATCAGGAAACCTTCATGAAGAACATGACATCCGGGATAAATCTGAAGGGCAGGCAGGAAATTCCACAGAGGAAGAATGGGAAGAAGCATATGTCAGACACAAAGAACAACATGAATAAAGGTACTGAGGTAGGAAGGCTCAAAGAATACTCCGGGTAGGCAGTCCAGTTTGACTGAAGTATAATATGTGAAAGATGAGGCTGGAAATGTAGAGTGATGTCATACTGTGGAAGGCCTTCTATGACAAACAAAGGAAGATGAACTTTATTCAGGAACCACTGAAGATTGTTGAGCACACTGCTGGTGTTTCAAGTCAAAAGCTATATGAATTAAATCCACAAAGTCCAGCAAGCTACCTGTCACCTTATTTTTACCCTTCTTTAACAAATAATTAGCAACCTATTATTTTTTTAAAACTCTCTTAATGAATCTTAGAGCAACCAAATAAATTCAAATTCACATTATAATAATATGTGAAACTAAAGTCAATAAATAAGAAAGCCTCTGATGCTCCCTACTAGGAGTACTTCCCCAGATCATTTTTGCATTTCTACATCTATGCATCTATAAAGGTTGTTCCAAAAGTCTAATGCAGTTTAAACTTACTTAAGTCACAAACATACATATATACATACATACATACATACATACATACATACATACATACATACATCCTGAATTTATGCATCTGTGCACTTATTGTATCCTCTCCCACCCTCCCCACCCCAGGCCCTAGTAGAAGGTAAGGTCCATCACAACACAGACTATCTCTTTTGTCTTTGTATAACCCACATAAGAGATGCTTAATAAATGCTTGTTGATGATGGCTATTCAAATTGGTAACAGTGTGTCTGATGCACAATTTTGAGGAACTAACAAGGATGATGCAGTACTTCCAGTTTTAAAGGAAAATCTGCACAGATTCATGTTAATATGCAAATTCAACAGGCAACAAAATATTGTAATGGTCACTAACTAACCAACATTTCAGAAAGTCTAGACAGCAGCACAACTCTTCCATGTCATGGGTAAATTATAACAAGATCACAAGAAGAGTCAACTTACAAAAATAACATAGCCCTCGATAACTTGCCCTTTAGAGTTAATTAAGACTTCTAAGGATATTAGACAAACAATAGATAGCAATACTATTATATCAAAATCAATACATACTGAAACAAGAAATCCAGCAATAAGAAAGACGATTCTGGCAGCAGTATGAAGGATTAATTGGAAAGCAAAGACACTGCAGTAGAAGAAGAAAGTTTAGGTGGATATTGCACTAGTCCAGAAAGGTATAAATGAGGAGCTATATACTAGGGTGGTGGCATTGGAAACAGAGGGGTGGCAACAGATGTAAGAGATCTGTAACAAGTTAATTGTGTTTAAGTTTACACAGGCGGTAAGAACGGCAGAGTCAGAATCCAAATTCAGTGTTCTTTCTACTCTGCCATACCGTCTTATTTATTACAACCTTACAGAAGAATTCTATTTTGGTTAAAGCAGAGAGATGAAAGAGATGTTAGCTGTAAAGTCTAAAGTGGTAGAAGCATTTGTTAGGAAAGAAGCTGGAGATCCAAAAGGCACTGCAGAAAGACTAGGAAGCTGGCAGACCAATATGAAATGAGCCTAAGGATGAATACTCCTTAAGTAACTAAATATCAAATTGGTGAGACTGGATGATGAAGACTGAGGAACTGGTACAAGATAAATCAGATTGGTGTGGCATGCTTTGCTGGCAAAACTTTGGCAGTTTATCAAACCCAGAGTTTAAAACAGGATTTGGAGGGTTATGAGAGGGAGGAGTCAAAGATGACCTTGAGGATGTGGGCCTGGGTGACTAGTAGAACCCATGACAGAAGGTGAAAATAAGGAAGCAGTGAAAGTGTGGGGTGAAAAATAATGGACATGCCAAGACTGAAATGCCTATGGGGCATCCAATTCGAGATATCCAAGCTGGTGATGTGGGACTGACCTCAGGATGGAGAGTATAGCTGGATATATAGATCTGGAAATCCTTTTCACTCCAATAATAACTGAACCCAAGGGAATTAATGACGTCACCCAGTGAGAGGAGAGAGGGGAAAAAAGAAGACCCAAGACAGCCTTGAGGGTCACCTAGGTAGTGGGTATGACATGGATTAAGACCCAACAATGAAAAGTGAAGAAAACTAAGAAGAGTCAGATGAGCACGTTAATGAACCAGAGGCTTAAAAGCTGAGAGCGCCTGCCAACCAGAATCTGTCCTCGAGGAGCAGCAGGGCCTATGACGGCACAGCAAGAACAGGAGCTTCTGTGACCTGAGCCAACAGAAGAGAGTGAAGCAGAGGCAGGAGAGATTTCTCTTGGACACTACCCAAGGGACATGTAACAGAGAGAGAAGTCAAGGAAGTCACTGGGACTAGTTAATCCGAGGAGCTAGGAGTGAGTGACCCAGCGTGAAGGAACAGAATTTGGATCTATAATCAGTAAAAGTTATTTCTGAAAAATCCATGATTATTGAAAACTGATGATAAAGAATGTTACCCGCTCCTGCCCAAGAGGGGATGAACTAAATATGCAGAATAAGATAAATATTTTTGGACATGACCAACAAGAGAATTTGTTTTGCCCAACTATGCATAATTATTACAAAGGTTTTGTTTTTCTTTATTCTCTCCCCAAATGTGGAATGGATGGAGGGGAAAGGTAAAGAAAATAAACACATTAATTGAAAAAAAAAAACCAAGCCCATTAGGATTTTGCTTTTTCAATGTGCAAGAGGTCAGTAGAAAGGCTCTACCTTAGAGTGGAATGAGCGAGAGTACAGAGAAAAGGGAAGGGTTGTACTAATGACCAAGATCTAATTGTGCTCTTTTGGAGGCAAAGCCTCCACTTGTTAAAAGCTTACAGCAGATATTATTAGAGGTGGAATACAAGGAGTTTTCTGATTAGAGGTGCCTCAAAAAGGTTTTATAATACATACCCCTTGAATAGTTGAATCTTCTTATCATCTTGTTAATATAGCTATGATTGTGTCCTGGCTAAACTTCCTTAATAAACACATACCATATTCAATATGCATCAATCAAAGGACTACCAGTTAAGAGTAGATTTAAAAAGGTATGGTAGAGACACAATAGTCAATGATTATAGTAATCTACTATTTGATAAATCCAAAGACTCCAGCTTCTGGGATAAGAACTTACTATTTAACAAAAACTGCTGGGAAAACTGAAAAATAATATGGCAGAAATGAGGCAGAGACCAACATCTTACACCCTATATGAAGATAAAGTCAAAACGGGTACCTGATTTAGAGATAAAGGCTCATACTATAAGCAAACGAGGAGAGCAAGGAATAGTTTTACCTATCATATCTATGGAGAAGGGAAGAATTTGTGACCAAACAAGAGATAGAGAACATTTGAAAGGCAAAATGGATGATTTTGATTACATTAAATTAAAAAGTTTTTGCACAAGTAAAGTCAATGCAACCAAGATTAGAAGGGAAGCAGAAAGCCGGGAAACAATTCTTATAGCCAGTATCTCTGATAAAGGCATCATTTTTCAACTATATAGAGAACTGAGTCAAATTTATAAGAATACAAGTCATTCACCAATTGATAAATTGTCAAAAGATACGAACAGGCAGTATTTAGAAGAAGCTGTCTACAGTCATATGAAAAACATGCTCTAAATCACTATTGATTACAGAAATGCAAATCAAAACAACTCTGAGGTATCACATCACACTTATTAGATTGGCTAAATGACAAAACAGGAAAATGATAAATGTTGGAAAAGATGTGGGAAAATTGGAACACTAATGCATTATTGGTGGAGTTGTGAACTAATCCAGCCATTCTAGAGAGCAATTTGGAATTATGCACAAAGGGCTATAAAATTGTCCATACCTTTTGACCTAGCAATACCACTTCTAGGTCTGTATCCCAAAGAGATCATTAAAATGGGAAAAAAAAGATCCACATGTACAAAAATATTTACAGCACCTCTTTTTCCGGTAGCAAAGAACTGGAAATTGAGGGGATACCGATCAATAGGTGAATAGCTAACAAGCAGTGGTATATGAATGTAATGGAATACTACTGTGCTATAAGAAATGACAAGCAGATGGACTTCAGAAAAACCTGGAAAGACTTACATGAACTGATGCTGAGTGAAATGAGCAGAACCAGGAGAACACTGTATGCAGTAACAGCCACATCGTGGGATGATTGACTTTGATAGACTTAGCTCTTCCCAGTAATGCAAGGATCTAAGACGACTCCAAAAGACTCACGATGGAAAATGCTATCCACATTCAGAGGAAGAACTATGGAGTCTGAATGCAGATGGAAGCATACTATTTGCTCTCTTTTTCTTTTGTTGTTTTATTTCTTCTTTCTTGTCATTCCTCCCATTAGTTCTAATTCTTCTATACATCATGACTAATGTGAAATATGCTTAATGTGAATGTATAAGTAGAGCCTATATCAGACTGCATGCCATCTTGTGAAGGGAGGAGAAGAAGGAGAAGGAGAAAATTTAAAACTCAAAATCTTATGGAAGTGAATGTTGAAAACTAAAAATAAATATATTTTTTTTTTGGTTAGGCAGTGTGGTTCAGTGACTTGCCCAGGGTCACACATCTCTAAGTGTGATGTGTCTGAGGCCAGATTTGAACTCAGGTCCTCCTGAATTCAGGGCCGGTGCTCTATCCACCGCACCACCTAGCTGCCCCAATAATTTTTAAAAAGATAAAAAAAAAAAGGGAAGGCAGAAGGGTTAAGACCATTAAGACCATTGATTCATTCTCCTTTTCACCACCTTAGCCACTGCCAACAAAATAGTACTTATTGCTATTTTAGTTTATTCATGCAAGAACAAAATAGAAACGTTTGCTAAATATAAAAAGTAGAGTTATAGAGAAATATACTTAGAGCTTTTCTATACATACATATAGACATATGTATCATATATGCATTTTATACATACACACTATATATATGTACATATACACACACATATCTATGTGCACACATACACATATGCCAGTAATGCTAGTCTATTAAGGACCTGCGATTTTCTTTCACCTTAGGCAGATCAAAATCCCTCCATAACTTACAGTTAGTTCTCAGCTCTCTAGTTACATATCTATTAGGTATCAGCAGTGAGACTGGAACTCAACACCTGAATCCAAAGTCTACTACACCAAGTTGCCTTCTGTGAAAATTACTCAATTGCTCAATTCTCCAAGGAATTTCTGGTGTCAGTTCTGCGAATCTGTCCAATCTAGGCCAATGAATATACAACCTTCAATTAAGCATAATACATTTGGTAATTATTTAGGAGAAATACTCTTCCTGTCAAAAATGGATGTGGAAACACAAATCACTGCCGTAAAATGTCTTACTTCATTATACAAATGATCACTACTAGATGCATCAACAGGTACACACATGAAGTCAATCACCTTTGATGGGGAGGAAACAATCAGTTTTTGGGTTTTTTTAAAATTCTAGTAGGTTTTCATTTAGCAACTAATTTGAAGCTCAGATTAGCACAGGCAAATAGGAAAAATGGATGAATACAATTTTCTTGTCAAATAAATAGTTCTTTCTCCAAGAATCATAACTATTTCTGAGAAGAGGAAAAGGAAAGAAGGGGAGAAAAGGTAGAAAGGGGGAATGAGAGTGGGAAGAGGCAATTAGGGGAGAAGAGCAGAGGGAAGAGAGAGAAATCTAAATACTACCTAGGCTGTTAATCTTGAGGTGAGAGAGTTAAATATCCTATCTTACAAGATAATGATAAAATTACAAAATAAATTCTCAAACTCTTCATTCTGCTTCAAAATCTTCATCTACCCCGTAAGACTATTAAGGAACTGTACTGAATCTGAAAATATTAACTTTCAATCCAAGAAATGTGACAGCTATCCCATAAAAGGACGGTTTCTTGAGATAGTAGTGAATTTCCTTCACTAGAGGTCTTCCAATAAAGGCCAGATGGTCACTTGTTAAGGGCATTATAAAGAGGATCCTATTCAGATATGGGTTGGAGACTAAATGGCCTCTTGGGTCCCTGCGCAATTTGAGATTCTGTGATTTCTCAGGAACCCAAAACCAACTTTTATTTTCCAAAACAGCTAAAGAACATATATATTTGCTCACAATGCATTAAACATTTTTTATTATTATTGGTTCACAATAATCATTATAATTAATTAGGCTTACGTAATAGTGAGAAGATGAGTGAGACTGAGGAGAGAAGAAATCTATAACTTACGTTGTATAGCTCGAAGTCGAGGAATTATTGTTGGACTACTAGGTGGACTGGAACTATTACTGTTTAAACTTCTTCGTTTGTCCAGATTTGGGGAGGCCTGCACTGTTATTTTGTGTTGGAAATCTGTTGGATAAAAAAAGGAAATAATACTGAACTTTCATTTCAGGTATATAAATTAAGTCTTGTACACCTATTTCTTTGGCATATAAATCAAGTAAAAAAACCCAACAGTACAGGAAATGGTGAAAATATAACTCCTAGCTCTTTCCTCAAAAGAATATATCTCCGGAACTTAATTTATAGCACTGAAGTCTTGCCTATAAATTCACTGTAAATGCAATGCGGGAATTCATAAAACTAATATGTAAGAGAAACAGCCTAGCAGTATGCTGGGATAAATAGTGTGCAACAGGATACAATCAGAGGAAAACAGTCTTCAGTACTTTCTCCCACAGAACACAAGCACTGTTGTTGGACTCTATCGCACAAGCAGGAGAATATGGTTGTTTGGAAGTATTAAATAAAGGTCAGGCAAACTGCAAAGACAAAGTTAACGAGGAGACATTGGCTCATTTCTGGTAGAGTACCTTTTCTCCAAAGAGGTCCAAGTGCTTTTGTTGAAAAACAAGTCAGCAAACCACAATGCCACTTTTGCCTAAAAGTACCACCTCTCTTGAATGTTTTATTTTCTAGAAGCAGAACTTAAATCTATGAATCAAAGGTCATCCCTTCAGATGGCATATAGATCGACCTTTCATGATGAATTCTGCACTGGTGTTCTAGCATTCGAGTGCCTGGGTTCAAATCGTGCTTGTTACCAAATATCTGTGTGACCTTAAGCAAGTCACTCAACCTCCCTGCTTCAGTTTCTCCATCTGCATTATGAGGGGACTGGACTCCAAAGCCTTCAACACCCCTTCTAGCTCTAGATCTATGACCTATACTAAGAGAATATACATACACGCTTACATTTCAGAGGCAAAATAATAACAAATGTATTTTATTTAAAAAAAAAAACAATGCTTCACTGATGCCTGGTGAAAAGCTCTATTTAATCATAATAATTCTAATAACTTCCTCCTTAAATAGGTGAATCCTACACAAAGATGTAAAGGCTTTCAGTGGAGGTCCAAGGATGGCATCTGCCTCTTAGTATCTCTAGATTCATTCCATTTCCAGTTCAAATACCACCTCCTATGTGAGAGGCCTGTCCTGATTGCCTCACCCCACCCTAGTTGCTAGTGCTGTCCCTCTGGAATACCTCTATTTATTTTATATCTAAGATCACAGCCTCATAGATTTAGAGCTTAAAAGGATTTCAGAGGTAGTCTAACGGAAGTCCTTTCAAATGAAGATAAGGAACTGAGGCCTTAGAGAGACTAAATAACTTGCCATAGGTCACAAAGGCACTAAGTACAGAGTTGAGATTCAAATTCAGATTAGCTAACTGTAAATTCAGGATGCTTATGTGCCACGCTAATGTTTCCCTAGAGAGAATGAAAGAGCCTTGATGGAAAGGACTGTTTCACCTTTATCTTTGCATCCTCAGCGCCTAATGCTAGCACAGAATAGGCACTTCTTATGTGCTTACTGATCTTAAATTTGCTGACTAAGGACCAGCCTGAGTTCAGAATGCCTCATTACCATCACCTTACCACCAACTGATGACACACTTTGATAGCAAACCTTTTAAGAATGTTTACTGGTATGGTGATCCACGTCAGAGGGAGACAGTACCCCAAATGACAAAATTCTGAATCTTCTGAAGCATAAATGTTGTCTTGCTATTTATGATCAACAAGACTAAAATATGGACATTTCTATAAATAACTTGACTATTTAAAAAAATGTGAGTGCTTTTACTTTAAAGATTTGCCCCAATCTCTTTTTAGTTTTCAAGACATTTAAACCTTCAAAAACAAATAAATCATCTTAGTATTTACCTATTATACTTTCTAGGAATTCCTTACAAACTGTCATCATCTATTATATTTGTAGGGAAATAGGAGCACAGGGAAGAGACTAAGACAGATGAGGATAGTGTGTTTTATAACAACCCAGCACCATCTTGTGGACTGATAAGTAAATAACAATGCTGGATTTTATATAACAGAACTAAAAATTTATTCTTTTTTTCAGAGAAAAAAGGGAGCACATATCAAAAGCCGGAAGGTACCATGGAAATCATTTAGTCCATCCTTCTCCATTTACAAATACAGAAACTGAAACCCAGAGAGGAAAAGTCACTTGCTCACGATCACATGGGGAGTCAGAGGCAGGATTTGAACCCAGGTCCTCTGACTACAAATTTACTCTCCACTATACCATGGTGGAGTTGCTTCAGAATTTTAATTATAGTTCAATTAGGACTCTCTTTTCAAGATCCAACCTGCAAGTTAAAAGCTGACAAGTTGATGTATTTTTTGACCAAAAATGTCTCCTTTCCTCAGATAAAGAAAAAAGACCCATGAAGTATGATCCTGGAATGAAATAAATCTGATATGAACTTAAGACTATCTTTATTCTCTCTGGATGTAAGCCAAGGTACACTTTAAGAAGAAAGCAAGTATACTGAGTTATATTTCATTATTATATGAAGTGAAGATTATAGACTTGTGTTGGTACATTTTCACTTCTTCCATAAAATACTTCTTAAATACAAGTTTCTCAAATATTCCCTAAAGGGAAAAACAAGATTATAGATTTAGAGTTCAAAGTAAATAAATAAATACGTAAAAGATAGATAGATTCTGAATTCAAAGAGATTTTGGAGGCCATCCGGTTCAATCCCTTCATAAGAGGTTTAGATGATTTGTGCAAGGTTCCCAGGGTACTAAGTGGCAAAGACAACATATCTGCTTGGTTAAGATACTCCTACTAAATGTTTTCAGACACAAGAAGAAGGCCCCAAGAAGATAAAAGTCTTGTCAGTCAGTCAGCCAACAAATATTGATTATGCACTTATTATGTGCCAAGCACAGTGCAAAAGACTGAGGATACAAAGAAAGGTAAGAACAGTTTACATTCCAAGGGGGAAGACAGCATGTAAATAACTATGTACATACCAGATACATGAGTAAATGGCAGGTCATTTGAACAGGGAAATCACTAGAAGGAAGGGGGCCCAGACAAGACCTCCTGTAGAAGGTAGGGTCTGAGTTGTGTCTTGTAGGAAGCCAGGGAAACTAAGAAGCAGAACTAAGAGGACTGAGCATCCTATGGTTGGGGGAACAGCCAAATACAAAGCTGTAAGGCCTACAGATGAAGTGTTATGAAAAACAGCAAATTAGGCCAGGGTAGTTGGACCACTGAGTATGGGGAGGGGAGTAAGGCCTAAGAAGACTGAAGAGGCAGAAAAGAGCCAAGTTACGAACACCTTTAAACACTAAGCAAAGGACTTTATATTTGATACTGGAGGTAACCCAGAGTCACCAGAAACATATTAAGCTGGCAGATAACAGGGTCAGATCTGTGTATCATCTTGGCAGCTGAGTGAAGGATGGATTAAAGAGGGAGAGATTTAAGGTAGTGAGACTGACTAGCAGGTTTTTTGCAGTATTCCAGGTGAGGCGATGAGGCCTAAACTAGATGGAAGCTCTGTGAATGGAAAGAAATGGACATACAGAAGAGAAGCTGTTAAGGTACAATTGTTAATATTTGGCAATGGATTGGATATGTGAGGCAAGGGCGAGTTAACAGTTGAGGATGATACCAAGGATACAAGTCTGGGTGACTGGGAGGATGATGGCTTCTTTGACAGTAGTAGGAATGTTGGGAAGATGGGAGGATTTTTGGGAAAAGAGAATGTGTTCTGGTTTGGACATATTGTGTTTGCTGCGTCTATGACACTGACTGATTTAACATCCAGTTCAAGATGTCAAAAAGGCAGATGGCAATGTGGGACTCAGGACAGAGTCAAAGGCTGGGTATACAGATATAGGAATCATCTGCACAGAGATAGTGATTGAACCCACAGGAGCTGAGGAGATAACCAAGTGAGTCAGACTAGAGGGAAAAGGGAAGAGGGCCCAGAGTAGAGCCTTGGGGAATACCAACAGCTAGAGCATGTGACACTGATGAAAGAAAGGCAAAAAAAAAAAAAGATCCAGAAGGAGCAGACAGAAAAAGAACTAAGAGAAAGGAATGTCAAAAAGAAAGAGTATACAGAGAAGAAGGTGATCAACAGTGCCATATGCTATAGATAAATCAAGAATGATAAATTGAGAAAAGACCCTGAGACTTGGTAATTACAAAATCATTAATGACTTTGAAGAGGGTAGTTACTGCTAAATGATGAGGTCAGAAGCCAGACGACAGAGGGCTTGTAAGACCTTGTAAGAGAGTGAAAGGGTTAATGAGACAGTGAAAGGGAATGCCTGGAAAACTCAAGGAGAGACAGGAACATCTGGAACAGGTATTGTGGAGAGTGGGACAGTGAAATAATGAGGGAAGAAGAGAACATCTGTTTGCTATAATGAAGGTCCTGTCAGATAATATAAATTTGTAGAAGACCCAGTCAGCACAGTTTCTAGATTCTCTCGAGCTCCACAGGAGCAAGTGAATAAGAGTGAAGGAGAGAAGCGGCTAGAGTAATTCAGGGTTGGGATTTGGCAATGCAAGACCAGACAAAGGGACAAGAAATTCGAGATGATGGGTAGCAAAGTTGAGTTGATTCAACAAGGGGTAGATATAGAGAAGGGAGGAGAGTATAGCCAGTGCAGCAGTGATATCTGGGAAAAGATAAGAGGGGTGGAAGGAATCGAGGTCACAGAGAGGATGAAGAAGTGGGGTCATAATGCATAGAGAAAGATGGAGTAATAAAAGATTATGATCAAATAAAGGAATTTCAAAGTTCATGGACAAGGACACAGAACATTTATGGGAGACGGCAAGACTAACGGTATAACCATCTTTGCGTATAGCTGAGGTATGATGGAGGAGTCAAAGGAACTGAAACTGGGAAGTTAGGGTATTTGAGGGAGCATCAACATGTATCTTTAAATCTCCTAACAGGATTGCAGGAGATGGGGAGGAGAAAAAGACTATGAACCTTGCACTGAATTCATTGAGGAAGGAAGGAAAATATCCTAGATGTTGATAAATAATTACCACACAGCCACCTGGATGTAGACTCAGTAACACATTTGGATAGTATGAACCTTAAAGGAGGGGAGGTTCCTTAGTGATTGTAGGAGGGTCTGGAAGTATTAATGGAGAGCAAACAGTACTTTCACTCTTCCACCATGACCAGAGTTGGGAGAGAAAGTGAGGACAGTACTGGAAAGAGTAATGAATGAACATACGTCTTTGGAAGGGAGCTATGTTCCTGTGAGGGCCAGAAAGCTGAAGGTGTGAGAAAGAAAGAAGTTTAAGATGAAAGGAAACTTTTATCTATGCAGCAGGAATTCCAGAGGGTACAATGGAAAGGGGAGGCAGATCTGGAGTGGGGCAATGGAAGGCGAGGGTTGACAGGCCTGACACAGTAGCAAGATGAGCATGAAGAACAGGGTTTGCGTATCTGCCACTAAGAGTTCAGGATTACCAAGACGTGGAGACTCTTCTAAAAAGTGAGCAGTGAGCCCAGAGAGAAAATCAATAGATAGAAATTTTTTGAGTGAGACAGGAGAAGAGAATGTTCAGATCTTCCCTTGAGATTTGGCTTCCTGGCAAATGAAAATGTGCTCTGTGAGACCCAAGAAGGCCATTCTCAAAGCAGTCAGGAGCAGGTAGAGGTTAGGGTGCCTTGCTTGCCTCATTGTATCCTAGGCAAGGTTCTGCAGAATAGGAGATGGAGAAGTGCTTGTCCAAAGGGCATCATGGGGCAGTCATCTATCTGCACAGTCTCTCCAACCCTCATTTGAAACAAGAGAAAGTTCAGGAAACTGGTGTGCCTGTTGCTATGGCTAAAAGCTGGCAACAGTGGGGGATCCAATATTCAAACGCAGGGCCTCTGACTCCAAACCCATCAATATGCTGCACCATACAGTGCCACCTGCCAAAAGAATTCACCTTAAAATACTACAGTATTTCTGTAGTATTTCAATAATTCTACAGGCAGCAGTCAACCAACAAGCAACTGCTGAAGGATTATTTGTTGGGATGTTGAACAGTTATAAATTGTACTAGATGGCCCCTGAGATATTTTCCAACTCTGGAATTCAATGGTTCTGATATATCATACACAGGTACCAGTCAACTACAAAAGAAGAAAGAAAATATAATTCTATTTTTATGCTACCTCTTATGAACATGTAAATGGTTCATTATAATCACATGGAAGAGGTAAGGAAATATGTTCAACTTTAGGATTTAAAACCATCCTTTCCCCTTTCTCCCACTACGTAGAGATTCACAAAATTGTTTAAATGACTTAAATATGTTAAAACTGGGCCAAAAACAAACAAACAACCTGGGCCAAAGACCAAGGGCATTTTTGTGTCAATACATGATAAATTTCAGACAGATTTGTTTTTCTCCTTTAAATACACATAAAAATCTATAGAAATTCAAGTCAAAATCACACCTGAGGGTAAACTAATCCGGTGTCCATCTTTCAGTTTTAAACGGCTTCTCTTAAATTTTCCTTTCCTCTTTTTTACATTAGGCTTCTCTTGATTTAATTGGAATATCAAAATATTGAGTTCTCGCTCTAAAACATCAATCTCTCGTTCTGCTAGTTGTTGCTCGCGCCTCTTTAACAATTCTTCCTGAGACTTCTGCTGAAGAGCTGCTCTAGTTAGCTCCTCTTCACGGGACCGCAGTTCCTAAAACAAGACAAAAAAGCCACATGTGTATATGGAGACATGTGTATTCATATCTACATATATAATAAACTGGATTAAGGTACAAAAAAATTACATTTCTGATCTTTTATTTATCCAAATAAGTTACTATTTCTACCAAGAACCTTATCCCCTGCAAAACTGAAATGTTGAAATATCTCTTTCCTGCCCCCTCAACCACATAGTAATTCCAGTCTTCAAAGGGGCAGATCTCTTTGTAGGTAAGAAAGTCAGTGCTAAGACTTTTTCAGTACATAATTATTAACTTAGGCTAAACTCAAATGCCTCTGCACAGGCTCAGTCTTGCTCTTTGTATTTCTCTAATATGTACAAACTCTCTTGACCTGGTCCCTCTCATGCAGGTGATAATATACCAACATGGTTCACTGCTTACTTACAAAACTTACAAAACAGATGAATTTAGGAAATTATTCACATTACAAAAGGATTCTTTACAGGCAGATTCAACAAGACTTCCCTAATTATTAGCAACTTAAGTTTATGTTCACAGAACTACTCACAGAGAAAGGAAACGTAAAAACTCAAGTGTGGTAAGCCTGATCCATCAAACATTAGAGTGTATTACCTCAGAATTTCACATATAAGTCTAAGAGAAGGGAACACTCATTTGCAAAGTTCATCTTTATTTCCAAATCTTTATGGATTTAAACAGTAAATAATAAAATTCTATTAAAATACTTTATGGTTTATGAGTTATTAATATTAATGACTTCTTTTTTAGAAGACAATATATGAACTTAAAGAAAATCCATAGAGTGTTTCATCTTCGTAATTAGTAATTCAACATTATATCTAAGCAATTCTACAATTTTAAATGACGTTCCTCTCAACTTTGCACTCTGTTTTGGCCTCTATCTAGGACATTAATACTCCCTTTAGTGCTATACCATTTTACTTTCTTTTCTAAATCACCCCACTAATAAATCAAGCACTTGCAGAAAAAGCAACAAATTTATAAGCTTCCATTTACACAGCCCCAGCCACATTTCATCTTAGAACAGACTATTCAGAGTGTCTTTGTTAGAAACCACAGCTATCTTTTCACATGAAATGTTAGTTATATATGTAGCTATACATTTTGTATTACAGTTTCTTACACCATATAAGCAAGTCACATTTTAAATATACCTGTTTAAGGAATGCAATTTGTGGAGAACCACACATCATACAAGATAGATTCACAAAAGAAAATGAGGCTGGGGAAACTCAAATAACATCAATGTTCCCTAAATCCCTTGTCCAGAAAGTATTTGCAGACAGATTCAAATGGCAATCTAATTCCAAATCTTCACAGAAAACAATCCCAAAAACCCCTGCTCCCACCCATAAACAAACAAACAAACAAATAAATAAATAACACTACTATAGTATGGTAGCAAATCAATACAGAAAAATTTCCCTAATTTAGATGCAACTAACTCTACCTTAGCTAGAAGTTTACTTTTTCAAAACCAAAGGGAAAAGTGTGGGGAAGGGGATTTCTCAACAGACAACATAAATAAGATTGCAGGGCAGAAGGGCAAACTTACTTAAAATGCTGTGAAGCACCCCAGCTTTCTTCAAATGACTTCTGGGTACAAAATACCATTCACCCTTAGCAATTTATTAATTCAAGTTAAGATTTCTACTGAATAACTTTGGTAAATGTTAATCCCTATTTATGAATTAAATTCATTTCTTTAAAAATATTGTACAAATGGGAAAAGGACCCACATGTGCAAAAATATTTATAGCAGCTCTTTTGTACTGGCAAAGAATTGGAAATTGAGAGGATGCCCATCAATTGTGGAATGGCTGAACAAGTTGTGGTATATGAATGTAATGGAATACTATTGTGCTATAAGAAATGATGAGCAGGCAGACTTCAGAAAAACCTGGAAAGACTTATGGTCTGATGCTGAGTGAAATGAGCAGAACCAAGAGGACTTTGTACACAATAACAGCCGTGTTATGTGATGACTAATATTGTTAAACTGAACCCTTCTCAGCATTACAAGGATCTAAGACATCTCTAGAGGACTCGTGATGGAAAATGCTGTCCACATCCAAAGAAAGAACTATGGAAGTTGAATCGCTATCACTTATTTTACCTTCTGTTGAGTTTTGTTTCATCTTTCTGATGGTTCCTCCTATTGGTTTTAATTTTTACTTACAACGTCACTAATGTGAAAATATGTTTAATAGGAATGTAAATGTAGAGCCTATATGAGATTGTGTGCCGTCTTGGGGAGGGTAGGGGGGAGGAAGGGGGAGAAAAATTTTCAACTTAAAAGAATATGGAAGTGATTGATGATAAATCAAAATAAATTAATAAAAAAAAAGAAGAAAAGAAATGAGCAGAACCAGGAGAATGCCGTACACAGTTACAGCCATGTTGTGCGATGACTAATGACAGACTTAACCCTTCTCAGCAATACAAGGATCTAAGACATCTCCAAAGGCCTCATGATGGAAAATGCTATCCACATGCAAAGAAAACTATGGAGCTTGAATGCAGATCAAAAAATACTATTTGCTATTTTTTTTCCTTTTTGCTGTGTTTTGTTTCCTCTTTCTGGTGGTTCCTCCTATTGGCTCTAATTCTTACAACATCACTAATGTGAAAATATGTTGAATAGGAATGTATATGTATAGCCTATATCAGATTTCGTGCCATCTTGGAGAGGGAGGTGGGAAGAGAGAGGGAGAAAAATTGAAGCTCAGAAGCTTATGGAAGTGATTGTTGATAATTCAAAATAAATTAATTTTTAAAATACTGTACAATTCAACCTGTTCATTTTTTTCAATCTGTACATCCCCCAGTAATTGCAAGTTACGTTTTACTCTAGTTTAGTTACACTTTGATTATTTTTATTCAGTTTCCTAATTTAATTCAGCATTATTTCTCCTTAACAGGCAGTATCTTAGGGGACAGAAAACAGGCCTCGGAGCCAGGAATATCTGAAGTCCAATCCTGCCTCTGACACACAATGGCTGCGTGATTCAGAAGCAAATCACTTAACCTTTTCAGGGCTCTAAGCAACTAAGATTATAAATTGCTGAGAAGGTTCCAACCTATATAGGTAGAGAGAATTTCATCATCTGGAAATTCTCTATTATCAATGAAATAACAGGCTAGTCCCTACCTCTTTCCCTACTATCTCTCCCATAGTTGCTGACTAGCAATGTTTTTTTTTATCAACATGTTGGTGTTAAATTAGATGCAGTATAATAGAGCTAGATAAAGAACTTAATTTTGCTTCTTTTTTTGTCATAATTGGTAATTGAAAGAAGAATAATTTTTTTAAGTCCTGAGCAGAGGAAATATCCTCTCAAAATGTGAGTCTCTGTTATAAGAAAGACTAGATAGGTAAGAGGAAGCAGAAAAAGTTTACCTTCTCCTTGAAATGAAAGGCTCTGTGGGAAAAAGTTGCTTTTTAAAAACTCTATTTAAGAGAAAATAGAAGATCATAAGATAAAAGAAGGGGGTAAAAATCCTTCCTCTAAGGAGATTTTAAACATTAAAAAAGAAATCAAAAACCTCAGGGCCTTTTCGAATACTTTCAAATTATAAAGCACACAAAGAATTAATTCTTTTAGTTGGTCAGATTACCAGTTGTAATATTTATTTAACTGCTTGGCACTGGTCATTTTAGTAATGGAAAATCCAGGTTCCTGGCAACAGATGTTAATCATTAACAGCAACATTATTTCTCACAGTGGTTCAAAGACAGGTGCATGCCCGCGTGCACAAAGACAGACACACACAGATAAGAAGCCAAGAATCCCAGGAGGAACCAGTATCTATGGAGGCCTAGAGTTTTCTGAATAACACCAAGACAAGAGCCACATTACTGACCATTAATTCAAAGTCTTATATCTCCCACCTTAAGAAATAAATGAATAAGAAAATGAGATAGAACACATACATGATACTTTTTATACTTATCCAAAAAAAAAAGATAAAATTTACAAACTGGAAAAGAAGTACTGTAAAAACTACAAATAAATTCAGAAGCTTGCAAAAAGCTACATTTTTGTTTCATACAATACAGCTCAAAAATGAAGTAAAGGCAAAAATGCACTATCAAAAATCTAAAAAATAAAACAGAAGGCAGATATCTAAATTTGACTGTTTTAATTATTTTCTCAAAAGATTGTGTCCAGTCACTTTTTCTATTTTCACAGCCAAATTCTTAGCAAAAGCTATCTATTATATACATTGTCTCTACTTTTTCATCCACCATTAACTTCTAAACCATCTGCAGTCTGGGTTTTGATACCATCACAACAGAAACCATTCTCTCTCCAACGTTACAGACGATGTCTTTATTGCTAAATCCAATGACTTTTTTAAAAATAAGTACTCATTATTTCTTGTATAGCTTTTGATACCACTGATCATCCTCTTCTGGATAGTCTGTTCTCCCTGGGTTTTGGTGACACTCCCTTCTCCCAGTTCTCCTACCTGTCTAGCCACTATTTCTTAGTTTCCCTTCAAGGAGTATCATCCATGTTCTGCTCCTAATGCTTGTGTGTAAAACTTAGGGCCTGTTCCAGGCCCTCTTTCTTTGTTCTCTTTCCATAATCTCAGTGATCACCAGATAATTGGATTCAGTATCACTGCTGTAAAGACAACTCTCAGATCTACATATTCAGCCCTCATCTCTCTCCTGAGCTTCCATTCCAAATCTCCAAACTGACTGACAGATATCTATCTTGACCTAGATGTCCCATGAGCATCTTAAACTCATCACGTCTAAAGCAAATTCATCATATGTCCCCTAAACCATCTCCCTCTCCCAACTCCTGATGATGCCATCACCCTAATCAGGTCCTCACATGTGACTCTTCTGTCTTCTTTACTTCTGCCTATTAAAACTTGTAGTTGAGTCTCAGTGTCACTGGATACATTTTCAACTGGAACAAGATGCACAAGAGGCTAAATAATTGTGTTCTTAGGCTAAGAAGGATCCGCAACATAAACACTGTATCCTCCAAGGAGGATGATAAGGGATGTGGGAGAGAAGAATAGATAAGCAAAGAACTGATATGCTGCTATAATTAGAAGAACTAACTGCAGATCAGTAAATGGCATCAGTAAGCATGGCAACAGGAGGTAAACAAATTTCATGGAACTCAAAAAGAAGAAAGATCATGGTGGCATGTCTTGGAAGCAACAGTGGAGCACCAGGAGTCCTCCACTCCCTCTCTCCTTGCCCCTAGAGTTCAGGGTGAGTGGGAGGATTTAGGGATCCAGTGAAATGAAGTCAAAGAGATGAGGTCCTCAAAATAGAATGTGGTTTTAGTTACAGGGAACAAGTAAAAGAAACGTTAGTTCAAGGACATAAGGAAGTTTGTTGGGAATAGAGCAGGGGTTTCAAAGAAAATTGTGGAATATCCTATTCTGCTGTGTCTTCTAATACTCAGCTTGGAGCTCAGAAGGAGTAGGGCCTGTTAGGAGAAAGGGTCTGAGAAGACATAATATGGGTATATAGTTTGTCCCTAACAATTCTTTAAGACTGTTAAGTTGCATAAAAGTTGCAAATATACATTGGTGAAATAAGTTTCCTCACCAGGAATTCCTTACAGTGAAAAAAGTGCAGGTCTAGACCAAAAACAAAAGCAAAGAAGAAAGAAAAAAGAAAAAGGTTTTCAATATCACAAATATCACAACATTCCCTACTGCTCTGTTGCCTAGATATCTGTTGTTAGTTGTTGTTTGTCCTTTGTTCTCAAAGAGGACCATGACATCAGGGAGGTGATGCCAACACACAAGCGAATTGGATTTAAGTGAGAGAGGGCTGTGCGGTCACCAGCCTCACTCTCTCCTCCAGAGCCAAATGGGTCCAGTGAGAAGATATAGATCGGGATGACTGGAGATGGCCCTAGACACAATGGGAGACTGTGGCCTTTTTAAGTTAAGATCTTTAACAGATCTTAGTTTGACTGAGCAGCCTAGATATTTATTGTACTAGCACAGACCAGTGACTTCTTAATACACTAGTAAAGACTAGGTCTCTCCATTTCACCCAAGATGGAAGTGCAGGGGCCACTCGTGGGCCTTGTCCCATTATGACTGCTATGGGAGCTATGACCTACTCTATTTTCAACCTTTTCCCACAACACCTCCCCTCCTGCAGGTTTGCCATATTAATGCCAAACTTAGTGCAGACATCCAATTAGCTTAGCTCACTGAAGCTCAGAGCTCCCAAGCTCAAGAGATCCATCAGCCTTAGCTTCCCAGTAGCAAGGACCACAGATGTGTGCCACTATGCCTGGCTTAACTAGAGGTTTGGACTCACTTAACTAAAGGCAAAACAAATAAATATTGATCCATGGAACGGATAAATATTGTGAAAATATCTAGTTTATTTTCTTGCTTTTAAAAATCTATACCTAAAATATTTTATATAGTCTTGAAAAGAATAAGCATCTCACCCTGCATCTTTCTTTGTAGAAGTGAGGGATAAGAGAAAGAAATATACTGGGACGTGAAGGTGATACAAAAGGAAAAAAAAAACAACCAACATTTAAAAAATAATTTAAATAAAGAATAAAACTAGTCAGCATTTATACCTTTCCCACTAGGACATCTATTCTCACTGAGAAATTAGGCTATGTAAACAAAACTAACTTCCCCAATATCTTTCCTTTGTCCTTTTAATTTCTTATCTTTTTGTATTTTATGACACCAACCCCCAATAGCCTATAAATTTTTCTTCCATACCAAATGTTGATGAATTTATCATCATACTCCATTGCAAAATTTACATATTCTAAATAAAGAGGTTTCGCATGAAAGCAGTGATCAATAAAGCTGTTGGGGATGATTGTAGGTTAAAATTAACAAACATTATTAGCTCATAATTTTCTTAGAGATTTAAAATACATACATTCCATAATCAGAAAACTGATTCTACTTACCTTTTCCTTAGTTCTCAATTCATCAAACATTTGCTGAATTTCTAGTTTCCAGTCATCTTGCATAGAATGGAAGGATTCTTGAGGCATTTCAGTCATAACTGCCCCTTCAATGGCAGTCAGTTGTTCAAGAATTAAAGCAAATGATGGCCGAATGTGAGGATCTTGCTCCCAGCATTCTATAACAAATCAGAATCACATCAATTTCATAGCTTGGAAAAATTCAGTTTATTTACGAGATTACTTCCCTATTTTAGAACAAAAGGCTCATATCACTGATTTAACTAAAATAGTTTCAATTTAATATTTGCCATCAATACTAACCCATGTTGACTATTTCCTGTCTAAAACAAAATAATTTATTTTGCACAGTGCCTAAGTAGTGCCATACATAATTATTATTTGATAGTGATGTTAAAATAAATAATCTATTTAATTTGAGGACTTTCATGCCATAAAATGAATTTCTGGAATTTGACCATCTAAATCACCATGATCCAAATAATGTTGTATGAACCCAAACAAAAGAAATGGAAGTTCTACATCCATAAAGGAATCTTTAAGAAATAAATCACCTAACAGACCCCTGGCTAAGAAGTATTAGGTAACTGATCAAATAATCTACATCGTGCAAAGGGATGTCTGTTGAGATTTTAAAGTGGCTTTTTGATCCTTAAGAGGAATTTAAAATGATAGAATTAGGAGCATATCAATGTTGTATTGGAATTCTACTATAACTGATGGATAATTTACTGAGATTTGTCAATAAAATGTTCTTATATAACCGAATCAACGATATGGCTAGGTTTTTTTTTAAAGGAATAGTTCCCTAAAGATATTATATCTTGTATCAAAGAGTAGGAACTGAATTAAACTAGGGTAAAGAATAGCTATTTACTTACTACCATTAAATCTAAATCACAAGCTTAATTTCCCTAACAACAAAAACAAAAATCTAATGAGCTATTTCCATTTTCCCCACAAATACACAAGACACAGAAGCTCCAAAGAGATACCTTTCATTAGCTTAGCAAATGGCTCAGGACAGGTGGATGGAATGGGTAAAGTGAGCTTATTGACAGCTACTCCATAAGCCACAGCAAGGCCATCAATGCCACGATAGGGAACTTCTCCTGTAAGTAGTTCCCACAGCAACACTCCGTAACTACAAAGCAAATTTTAACACTTAGATTAAAATAGTTAAATGAAAGAATGAGATGGTGTCTTCCCAACACTGATACAAGATCGGCAATTATCCCCTTTCTTTGTCTAATCTCCAATCTCTGCATTGCTGCTTATAAACACGTTCAGGTTTCCTGTATCTTAGAACAAAACCTCCCAAACCATTCCCTTAAACCATCATCCAAAATGTCTCCCGTCTTTTCACAGCCAAGCTTCTAAAGAAAACCTTTCTATACTTCTTAGCTCCACTTCCTCGCCTCTCACTCACTTCTCAGTCCCTTTTACTCTGAATTACAATTTTCTCCTGTAACAGTTCTCTTCAAAAAGCTTTGGTGGCTCCCTACTGCCTCTGGGATTAACACAAACTGCTTTGCTCGGCATTTAAAGCCCTGCATAATCTGAGTCTGGCCTACTGTACCAAGCTGGTTATAAATTACTGCCTTTCACAAACTATACTTCAACCAAATGGTTCCACTTCATGTTCCTCTATTCGTACAAAATAGTGCATCTCCTTCTCTATGCCTCTGCACAGGCTGCCTCTCACACCTGGAATGCATTTCTTCCAATTTACATTCTCAGAAGAATTAGTTCCCTTCAGAATTTGGCACAAATGCCTCTTCCTAGAGGAAGCCTTTTCTGATCTCTTCAACAACTAATCCCTGCCTTCCAAAAATTATTTATTAACTTTGTATACATTTTCTATACAGAGTGAAAAGCTACACAGCATCATGAATAGAGAGCTAGCCTTGGAAACAAAAGACCTGATATCAAATCTGACATATGCTGGCTGTGAGATCACAGCTAAGTCACTTAAACCTCTCAGTAGTCTAGGCTAGTGGTATCAAACTCAAATAGAAATATGGGCCACTAAACTGTACAAAAGGTTCCCTATAGGCCTCATACTGACTTAGAAAACCACATATGTTATACATACATATGTAAAAATTATTATTATTATTACTACTTCAACATATTAAAATCAGTTAGAAAATACATTCTAATCTGGTTTGGGACATACTCAGGATTGTCTGGGCCACATGTCATAAATTAAAACAAATTAATTAAAAAAAAGAATTCCCTTAAAACCCTGAGATTCTGTAGTAGGCTAAGAAATAAGATCGCAGGAATAGAGAAGACAGAAGGAGATAAGGAAGGGGCAATAACTACTCTAGATTTTTTTTTTCCCCTAGAAGTTTGAATGTGAAAGAATGGACTGAGGATGGTAGTGAAGATTTGTTTAAGGATGAGAAAGACCTGGCTATGTTTGTGGACAGCAGTGAAGAAGACAGATATGCATATGGGAGACTGCCACAGAGAGAAAGACTGAAAATGACTGAAGGGGGCAGCTCCCAGAGGAGACAGGAAGAAACAGGATCAAGTGCACAGGATTTGTTCTTAGCAAGGAAAGGTGTCACTTCTTCAGTGACTGAAACAAAGGAGAGGAACATGGGAGATAATATAGTTGTGAAATGAAACAAAGTCAGAGCTCATGATGGATGCTTTTGATTTTCTTCATAAAGTAGGAAGTAGGGTTCTTTACTGAAAGGCAAGGAGTACAGTGGTATAGGGGACTTGAAGAGAGAAGATAAGCTTTGTAACAACTACTGTATGAACATATGATGAAGCATGAACATATTAAAAGAACATTGCTATTTATGAAGCATTTTAGAGAGAATGGCATTGTTCTGAAGCAAAGTTTCCAATTTGCTATTATATGTGGATATGTGATTCAAAATGTCTATATAACTCTCCCTATTATTTTCCATTTCTATTTCCTGGCCAATTCTTTAGTTTTCCCTCCCAATTTCTATAAAACCTCTGACACACTGGACATATTATATTTTAATTTTTAAAATAAATTTTAAAAGATGTGTCAACGTCGAGAATAATTTATGTCTGCCCTCAGAGAGGCTAAAATACCCATGTTCGATGAATATAAGCCACAGTGCTAAAATGAAATTTCTTCAAAGAAAAAAAATACAGATAAACACTGGAAAATACAAAATTACCAAAGAAAAATATACCCACTCAAAATGGTGGTAGTATATTCTTAAAACATTTTTCAAATAAAAATGGATAAAATATCTTTATTTGATATTTAGCATTTTCTCTGTCTTCATAACTCTTCATAATATTTTCTGTTCAAGAAAGCAAACACAATTTTAGACTACATTAAAAGTGAGACATAGCTTCCAAAACTAAAGTGATAATTCTGCTGTATGATGTACTGGTAAGCCAATATCTCAAGCACTGTGTTTTAGTTCTGGGCATCACATATCAGGAAGGACTTTGAAAAGCTGTAAAGTACCTAGAGGATGGTAAGCAGGATGGTGAAGAACTTCAGTTCATGGCCATATGAAGACTGGTTAAAAAGAAATGAGGGCACGTGGCCTGGGGGAAAAAAGATTCAGTGGGCATATGACAGCTGTCTTCAGGTGTCTTTCAGGATAGTCACGTGGAAGGAGGAATTAGATTTATTCTGCTTGGCCCCAGAAGGCAAAACAAGCAATGGACAGAAGTTGCCAAGACAGAAATTTAGGATTGATGGCAGGAAAAAATTCCTAATGATTAGAGCTGCTCAAAAGTAAAATGGGCTGTTTTAAGAAGTGTCGAGTTTCGAGAGGTGAGCCAAGATGGCAGAATAAAAGCAGTGACTTGCTTGAGCTCTCCCCTAAATATCTGTAAAAACTAGCTCTAAACAAATTTGACAGCAGCAGAACTCCTGAAAAGGTAGGGGAAAACAAATTTCCACCCAAGACAATCTGGATGGTTAACAGGAAAGGTCTATTGCACCTCTTCTTTGATCATACCACCTTGGAAGTACGTAAAATTTACAGGTCCCTAGAAGCATCTCTGAAAACAGCTGCACAAAACCCCTGAAGCTTGAGACAGTACACCCTCCACACTGGAAGCAGAGTCCTACATTAACAAAGAGTTTAAAAGTCAAGTAATTGGCTGGGAACATGAGCCAACAGCGCAAAAGAGTCAGACCATAGAATCTTACTTTGGTGGCAAAGAAGATCAAAACATACAACCAGAGGAAGTCAAAGCTCCTATATCCAAAGCCTCCAAGAAAAACATGAATCAGTTCCAGGCCATGGAAGAGCTCAAAAAGGATTTTGAAAAGCAAGTAAGAGAAGTTTAGGAAAAACTGGGAAGCGAAATGAGAGTGATGCAAGAAAATCATTAAAAACTCATCCAAAACTCATCAAAAATGAGCTTGCTAAAGGAGACCCAAAAAAATACTTAAGAAAATAACACCTTAAAAAACAGATTAACCTTAATGACAAAAGAGGTCCAAAAAGCCCATGAGGAGAAGAATGCCTGAAAAAGCAAAGGGAATAACATACACACTCAACTGGGTATGGAAATCTCTTATACTACAAGAAAAGAGGGGGAAAGGGGTTGGGGGGGGAATAATAGAAGAGAAAGCAGATTAGATATCATTAGCAAACACTTTTGAGGAGGGACAGGGTCAAAGGAGAGAACAGAATAAATGGGAGAGCAGGACAGGATGGAGGGAACTATAGTTAGTGTTTCACAACATGACTACTATGGAAGTGTTCTGCATGACTACACATGTATAATCTATATCAAACTGCTTTCCTTCTCAATGAGGGCGGCTGGAGAGTGAGGAAGGGAGAGAATTTGGAACTCAAAGTTGTAAAAACAAATGTTAAAAATTGCTTTAACATGCAACTGGGAAAGAAGATATACACGCAAAGGGATATAGAAATCTATCCTGCCCTACAGGAAAACAGAAGGGGAAGAGGATAAGAGAAGGGGGCGCGTGATAGAAGGGAGGACAGATTGGGGGAAGGGGTATTCAGAATGCACACCATCTGGGGTGGGGGGGGAAGATTGGGAGAAAATTTGGAATTCAAAATCTTGTGGAAATGAATGTTGAAAACCAAAAATAAATAAATTTTTTTTAAAAAGTGGCAAGTTTCCCTTTCACTGGAGCTCTTCAAGCAAATGCCAGATGACCACTTGCTAGATATGTGTTATCAGGAATTCTTTTTCAGGTATCGGTTGCTCAGATCCTTTCCAACTCTAAAATTCTGTAACTGACTTTGTGAATCTGTGTGCTAAAATAGTTGTATAATCTTAGGCAGTTAACTCATTAATTTCTCTTGTTTTAGTTTGACTATAAAATGGAGAGCTTCTATTAAATGATTTCAAAAATCATTTCCTAGCTCTAAAATGGTTCTATGAATAGCTAGAGATTTTGTAAATCTAAAGACAACAAAACCCTATTCCAATTAGTGAGTACAATAAAACCTTAATTACATAGAATCCTAGAAAAAGAAGTAAGTCTAGGTGGAGTTTTCCCTGAAAGAGAAAATTCCCCCCTTAAATAATTTTTAAAAATTGAGCAATGATGAAAATCTTTGTAAAATGTATTACACACATCCATGAGTTTTAAAACCACCTATACTCAATACACTTCAATAGATAATACATCAGTAGGATCCATCAATAATTGTTAATACATCACAGTTCTAGGATTTTTTAAGTACAGGTATTCCTTCTATCAAGGCAGATTGTAAGCATCTATTACTTTGTAGGTAAAGGAGTTTCTTGATGCTGAGGGGTGACTTAGCATTTTAATGAAGTCACAGGTCACATTTAAACCCTGGTCTCCCCAATTCCTCATCCAGTACATGAGGCCACAATGCCTCCTTCAAGAACAATAACTATACCATATTGTAATACAGAACTTAGTGGGATGTGCAGAGTTAGATGCTGCTATAAGGAAAAGTCCCAGGTTGCTATACTTTCTGGATTCTTTCATCTGCCTCCTACAGTATTTTTTCTCTACTCCCATGCAGTTAAGGCTGCCAAGGAACATTGCTCTCTGCAGTCATTATGCTTACCCATATTGTAGGCCCTCTCTTTTGTTTCAATTTGTTACTTTTCAACTACTGTGTTTGAAAATAAAATAAACTGATATATATTAGAATAGTTTCTAAGATAAGTAGA